TAGTAGAGTGAATGACGGAAGGCCGGATGTAATGAATGANNGTCTTTCCACGATTTTTCCATCAACCGAGCTAATTATACGTTCTAATTTATCTTTCTGCTTTCTTTTGCTTGCTGACACTTGTTGTTTACTTGTTTGTTTGTTCGTTCGTACGTTTGCTTCTTTGGTTGTTGGTTTGTTTGTTTGTCTGTCTGTTGGTTTGTTTGGTATTTGTTCCTATGATGCCCGGATTTAATTAAACGTTGTGTTTGTTCTGCATTGTGTTGGTGTTATTTTAGAGTTTTGTTAGAATTACAGTTGTACATGTTGGTTATGAGACGTGGAATGCACTCATTGTTATTTTTAATTATAATCTACCTGGAGTTTAAGAGGGAAGGGTAAATTTCACAAACAAAAGATGATCATAAAATTTTGCAACTTTAAAATTAATTAAACCAAAAATTTACTGAGAAATCTTTCTAAATTTACTAGTGAAAATTAATTGAAATTTTTTAAAAAGCAAAGCTGAAGTAGTTTTAACACGTTTTTGCAAACATTCTGAAAATAATTAATTGGCATCCACATCAAATCAGTTGTGATTGTCTTCCTGTGCATGTCTCATTCTCTGACTTCAGCGCTACATATATTTTAAGTTTCTTTTTCGTTTTATAACGATGGATGTCAGACTTTGAGGGTCAACAAATGTGTGACACCTGGTAATAAGGATGCGGTTTGGGATTTTTATAAAATTTTGTTTACAAATGTTGAATAAAAAAAATTGTGAACTTTTGATTCCATCAGAGAAACTTGCTCTTTGATGCCTCTTTACATTTTATTCAAAATGTTGTGTACGAAATTTTCTTTAGATTCAACACTGCTAGATGTAGTTGATTTTAATTTCTAACCATCCTTAGTAGTAGTGATAATTTTCATGCAATGATTTAAATAGTTTGCGACTAAATGGTAATTTTTTTTAAATTGTGACATGAGGTCAAAGGATTGTGATTAGGCAGGAGGGGGGGCAAAAACACCTAAAAAGCTTGATACAGAAACGGATTCACGATAATCATCGGATAACAAAACATTCGACATAAAATTTTATTTAAAAATTTTCAGGTAGAATGAAAAAATCTCACGCCAACTCAACAACCAGCAAAAAGAAGAGAAACATCATTGCTGCCAACAACAACAACATCTACAACAAATCAGATAATGAGAACACGGCCTTAGATATCAAAAAATCAGACGACGACGACAATGACAACGAAGATGATGACGACGATAATAACGACAACAAAGAGACTGAATCGCTGAAAAGTTCTAAATTCTCGCGCGGACGGCGAAACAAATACCAGAACTACCTGAGTGGCTTCAGGAAGGGCTCGCACAAGGGTGATGATGGCACCGGGAACAAGTATCAGCGGAGGAGGAGTAGGGCCGTTCTCTATCAACTTTCCGGAACTTTTAGCAGACAGACCAGTGCTAAAAGTAAACTTCAATTGAATAAAGTTTGTTCATAATATTTTTATTCATGTTTTTCACCTGTATTTTTGTTTGTCCATCTATGAAACAAAAAATAATTTAAAATAATAATTGAGTGAATAATAAAGCAAAAATAAATGTAATAGAAAATTAGTGTTTTATTGTCATAATAAAATCACCAAAACATCATTAGAAAGTAAGTTATTGAAAATGATTTGCTTTGAAGATTTCTTCGGGGAATGCTGGAAATAACGTCATTTTTTGATTTTATCGATTTATATTGAGATGAAAGAAGGGAGAGATGCTTGGAGGAAAGCTTCAGGGTACAGTCGCCTTCATGTTTAAGTGCTGTTTGTCTTGCAATCATGTTCCTCTTGTTTGCACTGGTCTCCAGCGCGTTTAATTCACTTTTAAAAGTCTAACAACAGAATAAACATTGGTTGCAAAGTACATGGCAGTACGTGAATATTGTACATTAGCTGAATACATGTCTCTACATTCGTTTGTGATGTGTTTGTTTTTCAAGCACTCTTCTCTTTTTATTGCTGTCTTTAAATAGCTTTTGTTTATCTCCATTGATCACTTTCTAAAAAATGAGCAACGGTTCTTTTTAAGTGCATCGCCCGCGTTATACGCTCTGGTTGGAAAAACATAAACACACACCTACACACAACAACACACATTCTGGTTGGAAAAACATAAACACACACCTACACACAACAACACACATTCTGGTTGGAAAAACATAAACACACACCCACACAACACACGCACATACACACACACTATGGTTGAACAAATATGTATGCAGATAGTGAATTTTTATAAAAAAAAGTCGACAACTTCATTGAAGAACGATGACGTCATCGCATTACGTAAACTGCTTGGTCTTTTCAACTCTCATAATCTCCTCAATTTCGGTATCATTCCAGTTATTGGGTTGAGTTCATGACGAACTGGAAACGTTTTTACAGCAATTGTGCCGCTATTGTACAACAACTGTACAACAACTGTACATCTATTATGTCATTGCGTGTGGGTTAATGTTCTGAGATGTTTTTGCTGAATAAAAAATATTGAAAAACAGATGATTTTCTAATAGCTTGCAGGCATGGAAAATATTCTAATAAAAATATTTATTAATCTGTTATTCTCAATTGCAAAGATAAACTTTGAATAATTTGAACCTTCGGGACAAAAAATGCATTTTTATTATTATCGATGAGTTGTTTTTTGTTTTGTTTATACGGACAACGTTTATTCAAAAATTTCATTTCTGTTCTATATTCAGAATGTTAATTTTTATACCATATTGAAATGTACATTCCATTTCTAACACCAAAGATAACAATCAGCAGCTTTAATAACATAATCAATTATTCTTACAATAATAACCATTAAATATAAAATTATATTCGATTATTAAACAATATATTGGTTATATTCTCAATAAAAAGTTTTGTATAAGTAGAAGATACACCAAAATTCCCAAAAAGTGTGAATGTTTCCAACACATGTTAATCAACGTTTCTATCTTTTTTCCGTCAATTTAATCCTCCACACATACTTCAACTCATTCTTTGAAAAGTTGTGTGAAAAGTATGCATTACTTTCAATATATGTTTTGCTTATAAAAATGCGCAGGTGTTAATATATACAATACCACAATATTACGTACAATATTACATACAAAATTACAATAATACAATATTACATACAATATTACGTACACACAAACACACAAAAATGTACATACTCATATACATACACACATATACGAACATACATAATCACGTGTACATTTGTATGCAAACAAAACATATTCACATGCATATATGATTCATACATGTACAAAACTTAAATTAGATACACACATACGTGCATGCATACAACGCATGAATGCATGAATGAAAGCTGGAAAAATGATGGGAATTAGTTGGCAAATCATCTTTCGTAAATTATTGATGCGATGTTTCTTCTTGCTTTTTGTTGTTGTTTTTCTTTACCAATTTGTTTAGTTACTGTCGTTGGAGTTGTTGGAGTTTTTAAAGTTGTTGAAGTTTTTGAAGTTGTTGGAGTTGTTGAAGTGGTTGGAAATGTTGGAGTTGGGGCGAACTTTTGATGTTTCGTGGTCAAATAATATTGACATCGTTGAAGAAATTTTCATCAAACTTTGTTCATAAGTATCTCTATCAATCAATTTCACTAAAACTTTCATTTATAAAAATCGCAAACAACAACAACAAGAACGAACCATGTCGACAAACAAACCTCAATTTTGTCGCAACATCCAAAGAAACGGCATCATAAACAGGAAATAAAATGTTGAATCGGATGCCAGCCAACCAACTAATCACAACCAACAACAACAAGTCAACCAATCACAACCAACCAACCAACCACAACCAACCAACCAACCACAACCAACCAGCCAACAAACCAACAAACCAACCAACCAACCAGCCAACCAACCAACCAACCAACCAACAAATGAAACGTTGATGTCTATGAATAGAAAAAAAATTAAAAGGAGGCAGAACATATCAGTTGAGGCATTATTCCAGTTGGAACAATTAAAAGAGCACGTGTTGGCACTTTATTGAACCTTCCTTATTCCATAACTGATCGCTCAACAAACAATTTCTTACTCCATCTATTCATTTGCACTCATGATAGCAGGTGGTGAACGATGACGAAGATGACGACGATGATGACAGTGATGACAATGACGATGGTGATGACAGTGAGGACTATGGTGATAAAGAGGATGAAGATGATAATGACAATGATTGATAACAAATAAATAGTGACCTTGTCGATTATGATGATGAAAATGTTAATGCAAAAGAAGAAGAATAAGAAAAAGAAGAAGACGATGATGATGACGATGATGTGGAAAATGTTGATATTAATTATTTTATGTTTATTTTGAAAAAATTATAGCAAATGATGATGATGACGACGATGATGATAATGATGATGATGATGCTGCTGATGAGGATGGTATAGTTACAAACGATGATCATTAGATTTTGATATAAATTGTTGTTGAGAAAAATTTCAAGAAAAAAAAACTTGTAGCAGGTGTCTAATTGTATAAAAAAAACTAATATAGTATAATTTAATTTAATACTTGTTTAATTTTTTTTTCAGCAAATAATATGCAGTAAGTTGTTGAAGTTGTTGAAGTTGTTGGAGTTGTTGGAGTTGTTGAAGTTGTTGGAGTTGTTGAAGTTGTTGGAGTTGTTGGAGTTATTGGAAATGTTGGGGGCTGTTTTTATTTCAGTTATTTTCATAATTCTGTAAAAGTGTATCTGCTGCGATTGTAAACGTACGTTTATCACACCTCTATAACTAGCATTGGGAAAGTTTTTGTCATCGTCATCATCATCATCGTCATCATCATCATCGTTAATCATATGAACAGCTGCGTCACTTCCTTCCTTCTTTCCTTCTTTCCTTCCATGGTCATCATCATCATCATCGTCATCATCATTTAAAATGTCATTACGCCGTCTTTGCCATCACCATCATTAGCATCATCATTTTAACCTTAATCATTGTCATATTTCTAATGTGATGTTTCCTTCCGACATCAACTTTCTTTCTGAATTTGTTTCCACGGTAGTGTTTCAATGATTTGCAAATGTTTTTGTTTTGTTTAGATGACGTTTGAATGTTTTTTAAACGTTTTATACATTGTTATGCATTGTTTATACCTGTTCCTAATATCTGTATGATGTTTACAAGTTCGTTTATTGTTCACCCACGTTCATGTGGTTCTCAGATTTATATATATATATATATATATATATATATATATATATATATATATGTTTGTTTGGTTTCTGTTAAAGTTACTTACTGTTCACGCATGTTTAAGAGATTTTTACGTACGTTCGTAAAATATACTCCTCAAGACACTCGAAACGCTATGTGAGCTGCTTACAGTCTCGTTAACAATCACCATTGAGTATCATTACATACAATCCATTCAGAAGCATCTTCACATCAGATCTCATCTGTCTGATTCGTCACATTCGTTAGTGCCATCCTCGTATTCATTTCTTCACGAACTTTCTTCGTCAATTAGATTATTATCATCCTCACCTTTGTGTATTTATTATTACTGTTCGTGTTTGTGAGCAATTCAATGATGGGCAAATCAACATTTTCATTTTCATCTTTTCTATCATCATCATCACCAATCAACATCATCATCATTATTGTCATCATCATCATCATTATCAACACCATCATCATCATCATTGTCATCGTAATCATCATCAACATCATTATCATCATCGTCATTTTATCGCTTTTTGTTTCTCAAGTTTATTACATCATCATCTTTATATCGACTAGCTTTTATCTGCGTCATCATTGTCATTATCATAAACATCACCCTGATCGTTGTTGACGTCATCATCATCATCATCACCACCAACAACGTCATCATCATCTTTTTTCTCATCGTTCGCATCATCACGTTCCTTACTTCCTAGTGGCTTCACTAAAAAATATATTGATCGAGAACTCAATGAGCAAATAGATAGCAGGATGGATGGATGGATGTATGGATGGATGGATGGATGGATGGATGGATGGATGGATGGACGGACGGATGGATGGATGGATGGATGGATGGATGGATGGATGGATGGATGGATGGATGGATGGATGGATGGATGGATGGATGGATGGATGGATGGATGGATGGATGGATGGATAGATGGATGGATGGATGGATGGATGGATGGATGGATGGATGGATGGATGGATGGATTTTAAACCACATCACATGTAGGGTGATTTCAGTGCCACCATGTTTTTGTAGACTCATTATCCTTAAATAAAATAGCTTAATAAATTTTGTTATGTGCTTTTATTAGTTAGGTCACAATCATCTAAGGTTGATTATTGTAACTCGTTCTACCATGGTCTTCCCGATTTCACATTTTATCCTTTGATTAAAGCTTTCTTTCAACTCAGCTGCACGTCTGGTTGCTCGTGTCCCATCTTTCCT